TTGGTCTTTCTGCATGTAAAGACAGAGAAAGGAAGGAATTCCAACATTTTACTGCCACAGTTGTTCAGGATACATATATAACTTCAATCCCCCTTTGTTCAGTCCCATTTCTTACATCCACACTGAGTACCAACTTTTATTTCAGAGCTTCTTCAGGCTTCCAGTGGGCACATGATCTTCAACCTCTTCTTTAGATTCCTTAAACCTTATCCTAGGTTTTAGTTTTCTTCACTTCCTTAATCCTTTAACTCGCATCCTTCCTTATTCTTTCAGAAATACATCAAAATGTCTCATTTGTTAGTGATGCTCTTCCTCTCCTTCAGCATTCTCGCTGGTCATATAAACTTCTTTTTGTAGGATCTCAAAAGGGAGACAGGCAACAAATATGTGCTCCCAGTCCACCACCTCGAGCTACACGCCCACTTCTTGTTGAAATACTCATTCTCCTTGGCTTCCTTGACACTGCACTCTTCTGTGCTTCCTATTATCTCTCTGTTTTCTCATTATCTTTTGTGGAATTTTTATTGTTTATATTATTTGCATTATTTGCAGTAATTTGCATTATTCCTGGCTTGGTCTCAAGATCACTTTTCTTCTCATATCATACCTCTCCATGTGCTTTCTTAGCCACATCAATGGTTCCATTACCATGTACATTGTGAGGACACATGTTTAAATCTGAACACTGTTATTCAAACTACCAGCTGCTTTTGTACAGCAGAGTTTTAAGAGACACTGTATCCAAAGTGTATCACAATCTTACTAACATTATTAGCCTTATTTTCCTTTATGTTATACTTAATTTAAAGTTCTACTTATAATGAAAAACACATCCACTGTAGCATACATAACTAGAAAATGGCTTAAAAACTGGAACAATATTATTCTGAATAATTATTCACAATGATTTCTAAGTACCTATTGTTTTGAAACTTTTTAGAATTAGTCTACAGGAAAGTATAGAAGACATGGCTGTATTTGTGGAAAAGAATGTCACAATAAAAACAGAAGACAAAAGAAAGACATAAAAGTGGTTTAGGAAAGGTAAAGAAAAAAGTAGGAACAAAATATGCTAATTTCATAAAATAGAAAGTTAAGAATTATTTTTAGGAGTAATGAGAACAGCAGAGATTTATCCATTATGAAAGTTAAAAAGGTAATGGGCCGGCCCGGTGGCACACTGGAGAGTGCGCCACTTGGGAGTGCAGCGGCTCCCGCCGAGGGTTCAGATCCCATGTGGAGACCGGTTCCCGCTCACTGGCTGAGCACGGTGCGGGTGCAACACTAAGGGTTGCGATCCCGTTACCAGTCAGTAAAAAAGACAAAAAGGAGAAAAAAAAAAANTCAGATCCCATGTGGAGACCGGTTCCCGCTCACTGGCTGAGCACGGTGCGGGCGCAACACTAAGGGTTGCGATCCCGTTACCAGTCAGTAAAAAAGACAAAAAGGAGAAAAAAACAAAAAGAAATTTAAAAAGGTAAGTAATAGAAAACTATTAAAATATAAAAATATAAAATAAAAAAGGATAGAAGAAGCATATTCACACTTATTATATGAGGGAGTAAACAGTTATTGTTTAAACTTGACTAACTAAGAAACACAGATATTTGCTAGCATTATATGAAAACCTTGTGTGAAAAAATTGAGTTAAAAGGTCAGCTCTAGAGAGTGGGATTTAATGGCAGGGAGGGGTAAGTAGGTTTTTTTATGTTTGTTTTTCTGTGTCACTATATTTATTCAATATAGATGTGTTTGATAAAGACATCTTTGATAAATAGTAAACATTAATAGACAAATAATCACCAAGGAAACACTAGCCTTAGGTAACTTAAGAAAAAGATGAATTTCCTAACTTCTCTGTTAAAAAATAGGACTGTCACTGAATGATGTAATCAAAATTTAGCAGATGTTTCCCACCTGTTCTTTTCAAAGTTAAATGTTAACCTTAAAATAGCAGTTTTGTTTTACTTCTTTATATTTGCTTTATTGAGCCTTATATTTAGTACTTCTCAAGTAGCAATTTGTTGAAAATATAGATTTTTTAAAAGAAAAAGTGCCAACAGTGTCAACCGCTGCAGTTAATTCAATAATATTATTACTAAAAAGTATTTACTAGTTTAGTGACATATCATTGGTTATATAAGAAACAATGACCAATAGTGCAATGTTCTGAAAAGGCTCGAGGGAGTGAAAATCGACAGTCAAGGATGGAGGGATTGGACGTAATAGAAGGAGGGACAGTATAGTATCTCTATTGAAATAGGATGGGAAAGAGTAGTGTAGATGGAGATGTAGTTAGATTTAAATTTTGTTAGTAGGAAGATGAAGTTGATAACTTATAGGGTTTTTTTTGAAGTGGTGGTGGTGGGGCAAGCCAGTTTAAGGAAAGCAGAGGAGCTTCCAAAAACTTTTGAGAGAAGAGCAGATTAAGCCATCTACAGAAACTGTAGGATTGAGTGGCAACGCTGAAAGCCCATTTGAAGTTGGTGATCATGGACCCATGGTGGTTCTAAATTTTTCAAACAGTTCTCTGATTCTCAAGGCAGTCACAGAGTAAGAGCATCACTGAGTTCATTGGGGTTGGGGTTTGCCAAGCAAGAACAATAGAAGACAGAGGAACAAGGGAATTTAAATATAAACAAAAGATTATTCTTGAAATGTTTGACCATGGAGAGTAGAAGGTAAAGTTAAATGATACATCTGGGCTATGAAATAAAAGTGCAAGACTGTCGCACATGGGTACTGAACTCTTACTATTGAAGGTGATATTGGTTTTTGGATCCTGACTTTCACGTGTGCTAATAATCACTTCTGATGATCAGTGCAATGTGGAAGAAGAGTTCTGTTGTGTGAAAAGAAGTTGGAAGAGTCTCCTTAACCTCAGACACTAACTAAATGTAAAGTATTATTAATAAATGTGTAGCATAGTGGGACTAATTATTGGTAAGCCAGCAAAATGTTACACTTCAGATAAGGATGCTTTAAATTCTTAAGAAATCAATAAGGAAATTCTCAGAAATTTTGTGGAAATGTCTTATAGAGACTCATTTCAATTCCAGGTTTTAATTAGATAAATTTTTAAAATACATATTTTTTCCTTTTTTATTTTAACCTATAAGCATTTGTATTAGTCCTTTTTGTGTTGCTATAAAAAAATACATGGAACTGGGTAATTTATAAGAAAACAAAATTTATCGCTTACAGTTTCTGAGGCTGAGAAGTCCAAAGTCGATCTGGTGGTGGCAACAGAGACCCAGAAGTCTCACCTTGCAAGATGGTGGAAGCAGAGAGAGAAGAGAGAGAGAAAGACAGACTCTCCTCTCCTTTATAGCCCTCAGAACAATGCCCCTGACCACCATTTTTAATCCATTCACTACTGCATGGTCCTACAATACAATCCTCTCTTCAAGGTTCCACCCACCAATTATGATAATAGGATCTCCCACCCTCTTAACAGTCACAGTGGGGGCCAAGTACCTAATACATAAAACTTGGGGGGCACAACTCAAGCTTTAGGAATCCACTACAATATTCTTCCATAATGCTGAAGTTGGCATAATATATACATACTCATTCTATAGTGATGGAATACACATGGTGACTCTTTAAATCTCTTTTTCTAGCCTAGCCCTCTCTTATGTGTATGTGTATCAGGAATATATATCTGAATGTCAAGAGCATACTTCCAAATGCATTTCCCATGGACACTTCATCTCATGCTCACCCACCCTTCTATTCCTTCACCTGTCTCATCTTTCCTGATGAAGAGAATCATCACCCGTTCAATACACTATGCTAAGGCCTTGAAATTGTATTACATGCTAAAGCCTTGAAATTGTATTACATGCTAACTTCTTCCTACTTTAAAGCTCCATATTTAATTATCAAATCCTGGTTATTCTACCTTCTTAATATCCTCATCATGTTTCCTGCTTTCCAATGCTACTGTCACTGCTTTTGTTCAGCACTTTATCACCTCTTGGCTGGTTAGTTTTAATCCTCTCAATTGGTCTCTCACTCTTCATTCTTATTTCCCACCTATTCCTTCATGTCATTACTTAACTGTGTGGCCTTCGGCAGGTCCCTTCTTTTATTTAATACTGGCTTCCTCATCCCTAAAATGGATACTGCATTTGTGCTCTCTACCTGGTAAAGTTATTACTATTATATATAGTGTGCATGTTTGTGTGTGTGTGTGCGTATATATACACTAAATATAAAATATAAATACTATGTATGTACAGCTTAGTATACATACAAAATATATATAGCACAGTATATATACATACACTTTATAATTTATAAAATCTCATATATAAAAC